CTTGCTTTTTATTGAAATTGATGACTGATAAGGTCTGTGGACTATTTTTTATGCTCCCACATTGATTGAGCCATGAGGAGTGAAAATGCTGGATACGTTTAAAATGCTGTGTGTCCTGTTTGTTCTTTGTTGTTGGGAATAGCCCCGAAACATTTACAGACATAATCTGAGAGTTTTGGGTGGACCTAAAAACATATTTTGCTGTCATCAACACTGATGTTCTGAGTTATTCTTCCACAGCCTTGTTCTGTGTACAGAAGAGACTGAAACATATTTGTGAGTATTCCCAGAATTTAGCTAACATGAGGGCCCAGAGGGTTTTGTTTTGTTTTGTTTTGAGTTGCCACCAAAGCTGTCTCCTCTCCTCAGTTATCTCCCTCGGCAGGGTCTGCTCCAGGGCACCTCCCTAGTGCTGACCAGAAGGTGACCCCTCAGGGAGCTTATCTGTCCTCCCCGGTGGCCCTGCCAGCCCTCTGACAAGGCTTAGGAAAGAGGGCTGCAACATCTGCCTTTTTGCCACAGAGACTGCAGCCCTGGAGGCTCACGGAGACTTCGGAGGACGAAAAGGCAGACCTAAGGGGCTCGAGGGAGGCAGAAAGCGAAATGCCTTTGGCGACATTTTGGCCCAGAACGAGATAGAAGAGCGAATTAACAGTTATAATCAGGATTTTTCTTTTTCTTCATTTGTAACTCGAGACTTTGAATCTATTAACATTAAATAGCTAAGGAAATCGTAGTCCCTGTTTTCTGTAAGCTGTCTATTTTCTGCAAGGATGTACGATGCTATAGCAAGTAGCTCCACAGTATAGGTTCTAGAACCAGACTCCTTGTGCCCAAGTCCTGGCCGGGCACTTTTTAGCTGTGTAATCTTGGGCAAGTTCCTTAGTCTCTGATGCCTCAACTTCTCCATCTGTAAAGTGGGTTTAAAATACCACCTACCTCGTAGGGATGTTGTTCTTTGGTGCTTAGCAAGTGCTAAATAGCCGAATACTTGATGTTATTATTATAATATTATGTCAGGTGAGACCTATTTAAACACTTAGCAAATCAAAGTGTGAAAAATTAATGGTTTTTGATGTTTCTTAATTTTCCTGAGGCTCAGAGAAGCAGGTTAGACATAACCTATAAGATGCTGCAGTTTTGTTTGACACTAGGGTAGAGGCTTACTAAATGCAGGTAGCTGGACTTGCTCACAAGGCAGTCAGGAGGCAACGTTTAACTTGTTTTGTTTTCCTTATTAGAAAGAGGTGGGACCATTCAGAGTCTTAAATTATTCTACCTGTAGCTAGCGTAGACGTTGAATCAGAGGTTTATTGAGACTACGAGGGAACTGCCGAATTGCATTTAAATCCTTCCCAGGAGAACCCTTGTGTTTCCAGATACAGAATAACTTTTGATGTCAATTACATTTCACTTGGAATAAAGTGCTCTGATTCTCACCATCCCAAGGGTTGGTAAATCACAAACGTTCAGCTATTGTCACTTGGGAAGCCCATTATTGCTAAATATATGAACACATTTAAATTGTTGTGAAGCTATAACTCAGGAAAGAGCAACCTTCAGACTTCCCAGTAAGATCTAAATCTCATGTGAGAAAATTCAAAACTACAAGGAGTGCACAGTTTCCCATTGGCGTTATTCAGGAAAGAGCAGAGGACAGCCGCAGACCTCATGGCTCGGTGGATATCTCCGCGTGACTGGTGTGGCGGCGACTGTGGCTTCCAGGTGGGACTGCCTGGGCTGGAATCACTGCTTTCTTATTATTAATGGCGTGGCCTTGGGCAAGCTATTGAACCTGCAAGCCTCAGTGTCTCCTTAGGAAAATGAGAATTGTCGTTGACTCACGGAGTCCTTGAAAAGATTGAGTTACTGAATCTGCAGCGCTTAGCACTGCAGTGCCTGGTGCATAGAAAGCACTCCGTAAATGTCAGCCACTATTGTTATTAATCAGATAGCCTTCCTTCCTTAATCCCCTGTCCTTTGAGGTCTTAGTGTTCACTGTCCGTTAATCTGTTTAGGCTTCTAGTTTCTTAAGACGTGGTTCTCATTTTTAAAGGGACCAGATCCTTTTTTCTAGAGAATCCTTTTTTAACAAGGCACATATGCGTCCTAATCAAAGCTCTGTTGTGGCTCCTGTGGAACCATAACACCATAATGGAATTCTAGCTTCATCTAATTAGAATTGTGTAAAAAGCAATAAAGTCTAGAGAAAAAGATGACCTTTTCTTTCCAGATAAATTTTTTCTGAGGTTCTTAATTTCTCTCCATCAGTCTTGTTATATGATGGACGTGGTCACACTTGGGATTTCTGAATCGTCTTTTCAATGTGAGGAAGTTTTGCTTCATTTCTCCCAGCTTGAGCACTCACTTGTGTAAGACAGTAATCACCAAATTTCCCCACCCTATCCCACTCAGAAAAGATAGATCAGTCTTGTTAAATATGGTGGGGTCCCCTGGTGATGTGACCTGAGAACAACAGGTGGGTGGAGTGTTTTCTCTCCCTCTGGTCCGCGCTACTAGCCTTCCCTAGCATTCATGCCAGCCTGCTCCTAGTTTCTGACTGCTGTGTAACTGTAGAGGAGGCACCTTTTAATATTAATGTGTTGTGGTAAAGAAATACTATTTTAAAGTATGTGTTTGTTTATCAATACGGTCATATTCACAGCTGTAGAATGAAATGAGAAGAAATTTAACATTGTCAAATGCACCATGACACAGTCCCAGAAATAAGGCTGCAGTTGGAAATTTACAAGCTGTGCAAAATGTGGTATCTTCTTTCCTCTAGATTATCACTCAGATAAGACAGGTATTTATCTGGAAATTGAGAGCTGCTGTGCTGGTCAAAGCTTCCCTTTTGTTAAGTGTGTGTGAAGACAGAGAGCCCAGAACTGTGAATCAGTGCTGGGTAGTTTTCAATAGAGCCTGAAAAGGTTAACTTTCCTTTTTTCTGCCTTGTTTCTGGTATTAGTAGTGAAGACTTTTAGGCAGCATTTTGTATGTCTCACATTCTCTTTCAAAGATATTGTGTGCAGTGCAGTTTTAACCAGCTGCAGAAGGCTATTGTGGAAGAGAGCTGCTGTGCTGGGATGCTGTTAATGGTCACGATAACTAACTTTTAGGAGGGTACTGACTGCTTGGCCCTGTATTAAGCATTGTACATATATCATCTTATGTAAAACCCCCAACAGCCCTACGTGGGATGCTGCAGAGAGGCCAAGGTTCAACAGCTAGTCACAGGGGTCTGCGTCTGGGGACAGGCCACTGGCTCCAGACCCCTCCTTCGTAGCCCAGCCTTGGTCTTACATGCCCATTCCTTAAAGTTGGTCAAACCTGTGCAAAGAACGCTAATTGGGAAGTTCTACTATGTTGGAATGAACACTCTTACTGTGATGAAACATTTCATTCTGACATCCCTTGCTCTTGACCTTCTTGTTTTCCTTGATGCAAAACAGTCCAGGTCTAAGGCAGACGCTGATAAAAAGAGGAGACATAAAAGTAGTTGAACACCTTTTTTCTAGATAATGGCCTAGTTTGAAGTTTTACTGGGAAAATTCTCTCCTATCTTTTAGCTTTTTTTTTTTTTTCTTCTTAGGACAATTTTTCTATTTTTCCATCTCTGGCTTTTCTACTTTTTTCCGTGCTAGTGTCTTCCACATGAATCGACTCTCAAATGACAGTATTCCCAGACTTGACTTTGTTCAGTTTTATTGTACAAATCTGTAGTTTAGCCATGCTCGGTTGTAGCAATGCAGAGCAGGGAATTACTTATTCATTTATAATTAAGAACTTGGTTCTTGCTGTTTTAGAGGACAATGCTTTATTTCCTTTTCAGCTAAGGGGGTAAGGGTCCTTTCCCCAACCCATTTAGTTTGGGAGATCCCTCTCTGTCTCTCTCTCCTTCACGTATACACACACACACACACACACACACACTATGATTATTATAAATGACATAGTGACAGAAAAGGATAATATGGATAATATTAGGCTACATGTGAAGGATGAGCTATAAACTAAGTACAAAGTAATACTTCAGTGAAGACAACCTATTGACTTTTTGCTGTTTCTTCATATTTCTGTAAGCTGGTTTCATCTCTGTTTTTGTTTAGCATTTATAGGAAACACAATTTGGGGAGACAAGAGAATGTTTTGTTCCTTAACCTGGTGTAGGTTTGCCTGCATCGTATGTTTCAATATACACAGTCAAGTGTAGAATTTTAATCCTACCCTGGACCTTCAAAACAGGAAAGTAAAGGGGTACATAACGGTCACGTAGATGAGACCACTGTAAAAAAACAAAAAACAAAAAACTTGGAAAAATAAAAAATTATTTTGCAGGTTTATAGGGGGCTTCATTTGTAATGTAAACACAGATGTTGACATGGGCCACTTGTTAGAAGAACTTAGAAATATAATACAGAGCCTTCGAAGGTACAATGAAGACTGAAGACTGAGCATTTTGTCATTGTGTTCTTACTTGCCCAGTGAAGTCCCAGCCAAGCTGCACCCTGTGCTCAATGGAGATGCAGAGTTAACTCAACTTGGTGTGGCCTGGGAAAGTCACATTACCTGACACATACAGGCTTCCTTGTGACTGACCACGTTCACCCTGTTGCTCATTACTGGACAGAATGTAGCTGAAGAGTTAAGGAACAGGTTCCTGAGAACAAGTGCTAAAGGACTCACAGGGAGAATGCCCACCAGTCACCCCAGAAACTTGTATTAAACCAGACTGATGCCGTCAGTCTACTGTGGTTCTCAAGTTCTGTTCTTTCTTGGTTTATAAAACCTCAATAAAGAGGTCCTTTGGAAATTTTCGTGCTTAAATTTCCTTAGACTGATTTCAAAGAAGAAATGTGTAGTGGGGGAAGGAATGCAGTGGGATGGGGTGGGACGGGGTGAGGATGGATTACAATTCCTCTGTGTTCTTAAATATTTAGGCCAGATTAACATGTGATATGACGCTTGCCAAGCTTTACCTTTTTTATTTTCTCTTGCAGGAGTGACTTTATTTGAAGAGTTCTAAGAGACTGAAAACTTATGACATATAAAGTTGCCTAGGGAATTATTTTTTTATCTTTTATACAATTTCTATGGTGGAGTCTGCAGACATGTGGATGAAAGCTAAAAGGGAATACTGTTGCTATGCTGGATACAGAATTCAGTTTGCTTTGAAACAAGTTTTGGTTTAAAAATGTCTGATGAAAAATTTATTATATTTCCAGGGAGGAAAAGAGCTCATGTTTTTGTCTTCCCAACCACCACCCCTCCCAATCCCCCATCTGTGGCCTTGGTGTACACACTGCAATTTTTCCAGTATGATAACTATGTACAGTGGAACTATATGTGTATAGTCTGAGCTAATGCTCAGGGTGTGTGTGTCTGTGAACTATATGTGTGTAGTCTGAGCTAATGCTCAGGGTGTGTGTGTCTGTGTGTGCGTGTGTGTGTATGTACACACATGTCTGTGTGCCTGTGCTTCTGTTCCCCCAACCCTTAGATCTCATTTTGCTACTGGTTGTAAGACGATCCCCTTACAGTTTAACTGTTACAAAAGATAAAAGATGAATCTTTGGTGGTGAAGCCTCCTTGAAGATATAGTCTAACCCTGGGCAGTTGACCCCCCCAAGAGATCATGAAGTCAGAGGGAACCAGATGCTAGACTTTGGATTCAGAGACGAGAAATCAGCACTGACCTGCTACCAGCATGCCACTCCTAGGTCACTTATAAAATATTGAGAGTTTTGGTTGTTTTTTTGTTTGTTTGTTTTAACTCAAGCTAAGCAAATCTTATTTAGCCATTGAATAAAGGGGGAAATGGTTTAAAGTCACTAAAAAAAAAGTCTTGTTTTGACAACTCAAGGCTAAAACAAAACAAGACAATCTCCACTTCTGGTGCAAGATGGACCCACACCTTCCTCTGGTATGTTTTCCTTGGTGTTCTTCCTGTTCTCCATCTTGTAGCTAGTGTCTGTTATTTAAAGGATTCTTGAGGGTTACTTTCCCCTGTAGGTGTGGAATACCCCACTTAAAAAAAAAAAAAAAAAGCTTTACAGTTTACAAAACACCTCAAAGAACCCAGAGGTGAAGGTAGTAGTACATTTATGGGAGGTCTGGGCCAAGAGGTTGGGGAGTCCAGGTACAGGGAAATCTTCAAGACCTGCCTCCATGTTGGTAGGGTGCCTTGGCACTTCCTTTATTTCAAAAAGAAAGCACAATTCTCATTTGACTCCCAAAAGATGATTCCCATGAAAATGTACTTTTTTTTTTTTTTTTTTTTTGCGGTACACAGGCCTCTTACTATTGTGGCCTCTTCCGTTGCAGAGCACAGGCTCCGGATGCGCAGGCTCAGCGGCCATGGCTCACGGGCCCAGCCGCTCCGCGGCACGTGGGATCTTCCCGGACCGGGGCACGAACCCGTGTCCCCTGCATCGGGCAGGCAGACTCTCAACCACTGCGCCACCAGGGAAGCCCGAAAATGTACTTTAAAGTATCCATTCTTTTTCTGGCACCAGACTAAAAATGTCTAACCTTTTAAATGAATGGTAGGTTCAATTTCATGTGAATTTTTGCTGACAACTAATTAAAAGCTGTACATGTGTACGTGCATACACGCAGTAGACCCGAGGAAGGCAATATGGAAATAAATTTCCCGGTGGTCCAGAAAGTAGCAATATAGGAATTTTGGGGGTGTGTATTAGTGTAAATAATATGCGTGCAGTCTAGACCAATAGTTTTAGTTTTATAAAGAGGAATCATTTTTTGTCTTAAAAATATTATGCCCCCGGAATGGTGAGGGATAAAGTGTAAGATATTCTTCAGCTTTAATTATTTTATAATTTTATTCAGGTCAGATCGCTTTTTTTTTTTAATAGCAATACAACAGGCAAGAGGATACTCAAAATATTTAAATTGTATTTATACCAAGAGTACGTTTTAACTATTTTCTAATACTTGAGCAGTTGTTGTCTGACTGGCTTCCAAATATGCCAAAAGTTAAGCATTCAGTATTTTCAACATGTATGCTTTTTACTGGTTTATATTACCTAATGAGAATCTTTAAGTGTTCCCAAAGCAACAGATGTTTACAGGCCTTTTGTGTTTTTCCTCCTTTAGAAGGCTTGGAGACCCACAACAAAGATACTGTATAAAACACTAATGAGGGACTAACTTCTGATGTAATACATGAGTTGGCTACCACCTCAATGTAAAAATTTGTAAAGGAAATTTTTCACCGAGTGTCAAATGTATTTTTAACTGTCTGGTTTGTACTTCTATGACTTTTGTACTACCAAAGCAGAGTTAAAAATAAAAACGTTAAACACAGTGAGTTGTTTTTGAATGATCCAATTGTTGGTGCCTTGGGTACTGAAAGTACAATTGTGGTTGGTATAATTTATCGAGCTTAGTATCACAGTGCCTGATTTCTTAACGTCTGAATTGTCAAGTGATCATTTGGCTGACTTTCCCCATTGGATTCCTCCTTCCCCCCATAGTAATGCCATCCTCACCCCCGATTAGTATTTTTAAAATTTGGAGATAATTTTGGATGTAAGGAACAGTTGCAAAAGCAGTACAAAGAGTTCTTGTATACTCTTCACCCCACATTCCCTTATGGTATCATCTTACATAACCGCAGAACAATGATCAAAACTAAGAAATTAGGGCTTCCCTGGTGGCGAAGTGGTTAAGAATCTGCCTGCCAATGCAGGGGATTCGAACCAGGGTTCAAGTCCTGGTCCAGGAAAATCCCACATGCCGCGGAGCAACTAAGCCTGTGCACCACAACGACTGAGCCTGCGCGCCACAACTACTGAAGCCTGTGCGCCTAGAGCCCATGCTCCACAACGAAAGAAGCCACTGCTCACCGCAACTAGAGATAGCCTGCATGCAGCAACAAAGACACAACACAACCAAAAATGAAAATAAATAAATAAATTTATTAAAAAACAACTAAGAAATTAACATCAGCATAATACTACGAATTAAGTCACAGCATTATTCCAGTCTCACCAATTATCCCACTACCATCCTTGTTCTGTTCCAGATTTCCCACTGCATTTAGTTTCGGCCTCCTAAATCTCCTGTGACCTGTGATTTTCCCTCCGTCTTTTCTTATTTTTCATGATCTTGACGTGTTATAGCATGTACTGGTCAGTCATGTTGTAGAGTGCCCTTCAATCTCAGTGTGCCAGCTGTTTCTCCTGACTAGACTGAGGGTTTGCATTATGCAAAGGACGCCCTTCCCATTGCTCCGTATCGGGGGCTGGTGGGGGAGGCCATGATGTCGGTGTGTATCGCTAGCGATGTCAACCTCCACCATTTAGTCAAGGTGGTGGCCACCAGGTTTCATTTTGGTAAAGTCACTATTTTTCCCTTTGTAATTAATAAGTATTTGAGGGGAGATATTTTGAGATTAGGCACATACCCTATTTCTGCTTCACCCTTTAATTTTACCACCTATATTATTTTCTTTGGGCTCCTGTAAAAAACAAACTGGGTGGCCTAAGACGATAGAAATTTATTCTTTCACAGTTCAGGAGGCCACAAGTCTGAAATCAAGGTGTCTGCAGGGTTGGTTACTTCTGAGTCTCAAGGGAGAACCTGTCCCATGCTCCCTCCTGCCTCCTGGTGGTTGCTGGCAGTCCTGGCGTTCCATGCTGTGTAGCTGCTTCCCTCCAATTGTCTGCCTCCGTCTTCACAGGACTGTCTTCCCTGGGTGTGGGCCTCTGTCCTCTCGTCTTCTCATGGGGACACTAGTCATTGGATATAGGACCCACTATAATCTAGGATGACTTCATCTTAACTTGATCACATTTGCAAAGACCCTAATTCCAAATACGATCACCTTCACAGGAACCTGGGGTTAGGACTTCAACATACTTTGTTAGGGGACACAGTTCAACCCACTACACCATCCATTGGTGGGTTTTGCCTGCAGCTGTTTTTACTGTGGGAGGGGCTCTTTCAGGTTGGTGCCTGTGTCCTTCCGACATGGCTCCTTCTCTTTATTTCTTTCTCCCTTCCTCTTTATCCCTTTTGCCCTTTCTTACTTTCTAGAACCACGAGAGGCTCCAGGCTCATCTTCTCATGTTGTTTTCCTTGTCTTAGCCTTGGAATCCACCACTAACTAATCAAGGAGCCCCGGTTCCTTTTATTGGAGAATGGTGTTTAGAAATAGAGATCAGGGCACTAGGTGTGCTCATTGATACTGGGGTGTTACTGCTTCTGGGCACACATACACACACACACACACACACACACACACACACACACACACACTACTAACCCATTCATATACACACATCTTTATTTATGTAACTATCTTTAGAACAAAAGCATGAGTCATGACTGCTGCCTCCGACCTCAGTTTAGCTCCACAGGGTTCCCTCTAACCTTCCCACTTTCCTTCTTTGTGACTTTTCTCCAACAGTAAAGAAACCTGGCTCTTACAATCTATAATATTTTTATACAATGTCTCAGCCCTAGCATACATGTAAAGTAGTTTGAACACAGACCCCTGTGAGAAATAGGTTTCCAACTAGAGCAGTATGCTGTGTACTTATTCTTCTAGTTGTGAGCCTTAGAGAATCCAGCCAGAAGCCTGTTTGCCAAATTTACTTAGGTCAGTGCCTTTGTTCCCCACACCTTGGGCGTGCTTGTGTGATTCAGTTTTAACACAGAGTCATTTGTCATCATCTGCATTCCATCTTTCCTTCATGTCCTGGTTAAATTTCTTAAAATTTATATGCAGCAGGGTCGTGGCGGCAGTCATGCGGCTCTGTCGGGTTCAGGGTGCCTGCCTCGCTGCGTGGGTTGCCGGCTGCGAGGCACAACGCCCCTCTGATCTTCCTGCACAGCTCAGGTGATTCTGGACAAGGATTGAGAACGTGGATCAAGCAAGTTTTAAATCAAGATTTAACATTCCAACACATAAAAGTTATCTAACAGCTCCTCCCAGGCCATATACTTCTTTGAAAGGAGGACTCTCCAATGTATGGTTTGACAGATTTAAAATATCTAATGACTACCCAGAGCACCTTGAATCAATTGACGTAATGTGTCAGGTGCTTACAGATTTGATTGACGGTGAAGTAAAAAGTGGTATCAAGAAGAACAGAGTATCAGTAGGAGGATTTTCTATGGGAGGGTGTGTGGCAATGCGTTTAGCATACAGAAATCATCAAGATGTGGCAGGAGTACTTGCTCTTTCTAGTTTTCTGAATAAGACATCTGCTGTTTACCAACCTCTTCAGAAAAGTGATGGTGTCTTTCCTCAATTATTTCAGTGTCATGGTACCGCAGATGAGTTAGTTCTTCATTCTTGGGGTGAAGAGACAAACTCAGTGTTAAAATCTCTAGGAGTGAGCACAAAGTTTCATAGTTTCCCAAGTGTTTACCAAGAGTTAAGCGAAGCTGAGCTAGAAAAACTGAAGTCATGGATTCTTACAAAGCTACCAGACTGAATGAATTGATTGATTTGTTAATATATAAGTAATGTCTTTATGAAAAGTGATGTTTACTGCCAAATTCTAATTTGATAAACAATAATTAAAATAGTAAAAAAAAATTTATATACAGCAAACTTCACTCTTTGGGGTGCCTCATTGGATTCTGAGTTTGAATTTTCCTCTATGTGTGTGTGTGTGTGTGTGTGTGTTTGCCTTGAAAACAAGATGATCAATAACAGCTTATGCTAAGGAAGTGGAAAAGCTGATTTTACAATTTTCAGCTCTTGAAAACCAGGAAACCCAGAATATATGCACCAGGGAGGATGTTAGGAATTCCCCCAAATCTCATTTTATAGTAGAAAGGGGTCATTTGGGGTTACAGGTTTTGTTCTTAATCAATCAGCCTTTTTTTTTTTTTTTTTTTTTTTTTTTTTTTTCTGTTCGCGGGCCTTTTTCTGTTACGCGCAGTCTCAGCGGCCACGGCTCACGGGCCCAGCCACTCTGTGGCATGTGGGATCTTCCTGGACCGGGGCACGAACCCGTGTCCCCTGCATCGGCAGGCGGACTCTCAACCACTGCGCTACCAGGGAAGCCCTAGGGAAGCCCTAGGGAAGCCCTAGGGAAGCCCTCAATCAGCCTTTTGATATCCTCTCTAAGATCCTCCCTAGGATTCAGCTTTCCACCGGCAGGTCCAGGATGAACTTGTCAAGGGGATTGACAGTCCATGGCCTTGTATGCTCCTGCACTTCCTTTTCAAATCCAGATATCAAGCTTTCCT